TTAGAGTCAGTAAAATGGCAGAAAGGTCTTTTAGAGAAAAGTGTCTCATCTAATTTTGTCGCTGATTGTGGTTTCTTCCTTGCGGTCCAAACGCTAAGAAGCTAAACATTCAAGAGAAGGAAATGGCTTTTAAAGACTTTCTTTAAAAATATTTTAACTTTTTTCTCGGTAGCTATTTATCTATCTTACTCTTTAGAGAAACCTGATATGATGTAAGGCCGTGTTTCATTTTCTAATGAAACTACCTCTTATTTATTTAGACCGTATTGGCACTTAATTATGTGGTTCTTTAGCGTTTTGCGCGATTGTAAAAAAAGAACTTTCGAAATTAAAGATTCCGCAAATAAACATTCTCGCGAAATTTTATACCCATATAATCCACATAGAAAATTCAAATCACAGAAGAAAATAAAAAAACATGTAATAGTAAAAACTCAGTATACACGACATGATCATGAATCGATATATATATATGAGAGTTTCCCCAGCTCCAGGGCATAAAATTTAGTTGTATGAATACACGAAGCTCTTACTTCGAATCCGACGCCCGGTCGCTAAGCGCTTGTTGCGCGTCTTATTATTTGGGCGTCGCCCAAATAGAGTAATTGCAATGGGCACGCAATGCGTGCGAACGTAGACAAGCCAAGCGACGCGAATGTCTGCCACGCGATGTGACAGGATAGAGCATTCATCGTCGTTACAATATGTCCCAGAGCTAACGCACGGCAAACACCGACGTGAAACAAACTATTAACTTATTAAGCACATCGCTCGTTAATAATGCAATGTTTCCAAGGATTAAATGAATTTCCCTATACAAATAAATTCGCAATAGATATCAGTATCGGCGCTTATTTATTGTTTTTAAGTATACCGAAAAAATCATATTTTTTATATGGAACTCAACGGATCACCGCGTGACTTTCCACGAGTTTTGCTAATTTACTGTATTAGAATGACAATCAACTAGTAATAACCAAAGGGAACTGAGTGCGGGCGACAACGATCGAAAGTCAAAACGCTTTTGCTCCAACGCAGTGCTTTGCGCAAGTTTCACGTGGAGATGGTCAAAACGCGCGTGATCAGATAACGAGTGATAGAAGGTCCAATCGCGAGTGATCAAATCGCGTTCTATGCATTCCATTTATTCTTAGTGCAAGTCCAAACGAATGCTGGCTACATACATGCGACGCATGCTTAATAACAACCTGGAGAATAGAATTGAGGGCTTCTCTAATCGCCTGCAATTAACGTGTGGGACTGGGAAAGTTAAATAGTAAGATTCTATTAAATGCACGGTATATTTTTGTCCTGATATTTGAACTCTTCAGTATTCTGCTGCTCGTTTTGGATTAAGAGTTATATACAAACTTCTTTTAAATTTCAAAAAAATAGGAAATTTCTGATGCAGGAGTTTTAAATAAGTGCAATCGAACGCATTGACTCAATTTTTGTATATCAGGAGTCAATTCGGAATTGCAAAAGAAGAACGAAAGTACAGGCGTTTCAAAGATTTTTTAAAGTGCAATCCGTTTAAATCTGCGTGCGTTATACTGAGTGTCTAAGAACTTCTTTAAGATTGAACAGGCAGTCTTACTTCACTACCAGGTTAAAAGACAACCGACGGTCATAAGCGTTTTGTTTTCAGTATGCCTGAGTATCTATAGCGGTATCTGCATGGCTGAGTGTTTTTTGGCAGCGAGCCGCTGCGCGTGGCTATGAAAATCACTCACTCTCAAACTGACTCATCTCCATTCTTCTCAATTACGTGAATGAAGCAGTCTCACAAGATGAATAAGTTGAGAATGTGTGAGCGCTGTTGTCAGCTCTTGGCTCAAGCAAAGGGATCATATAAACGCACCCTTAAGTTGACTTGGCTGGGAGGCCAGGCAGTGGCCCTATTTCCCGGGACAACTTTTCTCCATAGAAACGGAAGAGGATAAAGCTAATTAGTAAAATAAAAACTAGTGGTTTATTATCAATGCTGCGTTCTGATTGGTTGAGCTACTACTAGGCTATATGTTATAGCCCACTAGTAGCGAAAAGCGCCGACTTTTTGGCGGCAAAAAAAGATTCAAGTTTAGCTTTAACTAGGTAAAGTTGGTTTGTCTCGATATTTTTGACTAACTACAGTAAAACCTCTATTAAGCAGACCCCCAATCAAGCGGACTCCCTCTAGTAAGCGGACACTAAGCCTGGTTCCGAAATTAACGTCTTATATTTCCCTTTATAAGGATCCCCTATTCAGCGGACACCTTTATTAAGCTGACGCGGACACTAAAATAAGTTGTATTTGGCTAATTTCCATTGTTAAAAACCTCTATTAAGCGGACAACGGACTGAATTGACAATAGTAGAATTGGATTACGTCCTTGAAATACGTACGGAAGTCAGTTAATGCTTTTGCATTTACAAAAAAATTAAAGTTGGCAATGAAAGGTAATGAACTTGAACTCTGGATAGCTTCTCTAACAACATGCAACTTTATCACAGTACACAGTAACCGTTGAATGTTGATCATTAACAAACATTGCGCAATTTTTACAACCTCTATTAAGCGGACACTTGGGAAGGTGCCGAAGGTGTCCGCTTAAGAGAGGTTTCACTGTAGTTGAATTCTACTAAAACAATTATTCCTCTCGCCCTAATGGCCTATGAGTCAATAGCCCCTTCGGCGTCATGAGCTATTGACTCAGAGGCCTTTCGGACTCGAGGAATAATTGTTAAAGGTCCGATAGAAAATTGGGGTTCAGGGGTGCTGTGGTGCCGGTATAGCTTCAACCTACTGTCTACAGAAGTTTAGTTCTGTCAGTATTGACGAACCTTGCTTTCAAAAACATTCGCCCTATAAGTAATCGGCAATTTGTTTCTAAGTTAGTTGAACGAGCAGTTTCGAATCACTTTCAGCCTCATTTGGTTAAGAATAATCTCTTGCCTACGCTTCAGTCGGCATATCGTCCGAGCCAAAATTCTCAAAACTCAAAATTAAAAATGACATTTTAATCAACATGGACAAACAACACGCTACGCTTCTTATCCTTCTAGAAATGATCTACAGTTGTAATTTATTCGAACACAACATATATAGGTTCGCAATACATAAATTTATCTTCGTCAAACGATGGATATTTATACTAAACCACGTGTTTAGTCGTTCTTAATTATACTTAATATTCATCCAAACTAATACTTTACAAATGCTGTATAAATATATTAATATATTCTTTACACTTATAGCTGCCTGTATAATAGAAATCTTTTTGTTCCACCAAAAGAATTTCATGAAACAAAAATATCTTTAAAATATCTCTTTAGTTTCAGATGTTAATTTTTTGTTTTCTCATGTTGACCAAGATAATTTGTACCAAAATTTCCAATAATTGCATGAATGGAAAAGGTCCCTTCTAACTGTTGCGCGTGTTTCTAGACTGTTCACAGTCGTCAAGAGCAGGCTCTTACCGGTATGGACAGCCATCTTGGCTTCTTATGTACCGAGGGTGGGGGAGGGGGGCTAGCTGTCTGGTTAGGCCTAGATACAAATATCTGGATATTTTTAAAGATATTTATAAGATTTTGAGATATTGTCAGAGGAGGCAAGAAAAATTGCCTCTTCGATTGGGAGAAGGTTTCAAATGTGCATGCTTGCCTGTTTTATTTGGAACAATGTCCCTGTGAATTGTATTATACAAAATCATTTTTCATTTAAAGCGGAGTTGGTTAATTAGTGGATGGTAAAAGGCGTTAGGATAGTCCTTCTGTCGCCTTCTCTCAAACTGTTCCCCGCCCCCTAAGTAGATTTGACACTCATTGCATCCAAGATGGCCGCCCGTAACGCAAAGCGCTCGATCCCGACGATCGTACGGAAAAATAGGGGACTCTGAGTAGTCTAGCTTGATTTCGCTACTTTGAATAACAGACCACGACACATACTACGGGCGTGACAGTCACGCTATGCGTCATGTCAATCTTTACCTTTAGCAATTATTCAAAACTGAAAGACAGTGGTCACCGACAACTGACGTGATTACTCGGTTACTGACACTTCTTTGTAATTCAGTATTTCAGACAACAAGCCAAAACCTCAGGATGTATCTAATATCTCCTTGGGTTACTCATTCATGTGATTTGATGCAAATACCTTCACTTTGATTAACCGATAACAATATCATATCCAAAATATTATCTATAATATCCACCATATTCAGTCTACATAAGTCCTGAGCGCACCTTTTAAGGTCAAACACATGACAGATATTGCTCACATGATTAGCGGCCGTTTCTTTGGGATAATCCAAAATTACATTATCGAACTCAGATTATTTGAATTCGTTACAACGAAAGAAACGGAAAATCCGATAATGGATCTTTAGGACCTTTAGCATAGGGCGCGAACCGGAGAGGCGTGGTTGGCCAACCGCCACCGTGTGTGCTTTCTTTCGGATTAGTAACGAAAGAAAGGCACGCTGGCTGAGTCTGGGTCATGAATCCTAAAAATCTAGATTTAGATCTGTTCCGATGAACCCATAGTCCTTTAAGGTCGTCACGCAACGGAGAAGAAACGTTGGGTGACGACCCTAAAAATGGCCGCGAAGAAGACTAATGAATGCGCTCAGTTTGTGGATTCTTCAGATTAAAAATTTAATCTCTCCTGGATTTCAGTAAATAAACATTGGGTCCGTTTTTGAATTTGGATTTTCCTAGATACCCTAGTCTTTTTAGGCACGCCCATAATAAGATGACAGCTGCTTTGTATCCTTATCTGAAAAACGTAAAGGTTATGTTACACGGGACGATTCGCAACGACTATTTTTTGCGCAACACAGTATTGCAATGCTGGAACAATGTTGCAACCATTTGAATCAATGTCGCAACAATGTTGCAACGCTGTGTTGCGCTAAAAATCGTTGTTGCGAATCGTCCCTTGTAACATCACCTTAAATCGCATATTATATGGCTGATTGCTACTTGGCACTTGACAGAGACTGATCTTGCTTTCCACTCTAGCCAAAAGTCCAGACTTCAACGCCAAGACAAATGAAATCCTCGGTGGCGGAAAGCATCTCGCTGTCATAAGTTTCGCAGGCAGTGCTTCTACCATGATACAGATCACTGTCTAACCAAAGCCGAAAATTTCCCCTGAAAATTAACAAAAATTTAATAGTGACCAAAGTACTTCATAGTCTTCAACGCAGCCGTTCTTTGTGTCCTCGCGTCAGCATACTAGGGGTGCTTACTATTTGTCAGTTTTGGCTGGCTAGAGCAGCCCGATCAAAAAGAGAATTCCACTATTAATCATAATCGTCACAATTTCCTCAAATTTGATTGGTGCGTTGACTGCTTTATTTTTCACCAATCATTGTGTAGGGTTGTAATCGGACAGTTGATTGTAATTAATCGGACACCTTTAAGCGCAGAATTTATCACTATAACCAAAGCAAAAATGGACGAATTTGTAACATTACACAATGTCTCTTTGATAATTCCCTAATTGTGGATTATTGGTATTAAAAGCTCTTTCACAAAAACAAAAATGCAGTTGTTTTTCTCGAAAATTGTAATGATTATGATAAAACTGTAACAGAACTTCGATTCGTATCGTCCAATTCGGTCTGTAATCATACCCATGATTAAACAAATTGGACTCCCGCGATTTTGTTAATCAGTCCTATGATCTCAGAAAAAATTTCGAGAAATTTAGACTTATGTTTCATGTTGAAATTACTCAGACATCTTCGTCGAGTGAACAGACCCATCATGTTTTTTCTAAAATGACACAACATGGTATTTATTCTTTACATCTGCTTTGAATAAGGCGGAGATTGTCTAAAAGCTCTACAGAGCTTGCTTGATCCCCTGCCTTGTAGTGATGTAATAGGTTATGTGTATACAAATGAATGTATGGTAAATAAAGGTACTTCTACTCTCATAATAGAACGGGATGTTGGTCCTAAAAGTTCTTCGAAGTCATGTAAAGCTGAAATAAAATCAAAGGACAGATCCAAATGTTGCATCTAGCAATGTGGGCGGAAACTTGGACCAGCTTAAGGGCCCAAAGAACAAAGGCAGGTTGAGGTTTCGGCAGTTTTACCAAAAAAAAATGAACATAGTCAAACGAAGAAGGGTTTTGATATCAAAGACATGAACTTATCAACACACAAACTCGTTTCCAGGGTTCTTTCCTACCCGTGACCTGCGAACGACTCGGTTGAGCAACACATAACTCAACTAGAGACTGAAGATCATTGCTTTGTCGATTAAAATAAGTTTTATTTCATTGATGTACTTTACTAATCATTATTAAATTCATAAACAAAATAGTATAGTATACGTATTGTTCGTCAACACCCGGAAAGGAAGGATGCCATTAAATATAAAAACACCGAAAAGAAAACACTTACTCACTGCTTCCGAAGGCAAGTCCATTTGCATCTCCTGTCATGTAGTAAGAATTTCTTCCACGGCATGGATAAATCTACAAAAAGAATCAAGCCAATGTAGTTACCTGTATCTCTAATTACATGTGATATTGTGAGGTTACGTTACCCTGGCTCAAGAAGTCCGTCCTTTAAATACCTAAGATGAAATAAACCGTGCTTACGGTTTAATAAGGCTCCCGAGACGGACTTTTTGTTTCTTTTGGAGCTCGTTGACGTTTCTTTTGGCGCTCGTCTCTCGGCGCCTCGCGCCTTGTTGACACGGCTTCGCCGCGAAACATTTGTATCGATAACAAAAAAGTATCCTCTGGAACCTAGGGTAAGACTACGTGCGCCCCGATAATGAACATAACTTTTCGACCAGGTAAGGAAATCCGGATTCCGGAATCAGCGAAATGTTTCCTTCTGGAATCCGGAATTCGGGAATTTTTTCTGGTGGAATCTGGAATCCTGGGTTTTGGAATCCATAATACAGCTCAAGGAAACCGGAATGGTACTAACCATTGAAATCCGGAATCCAAGTTCCATTGACAAAGAAGCCGAAATCCAGAAATCGAGACTGTCTTGGATTCCCCTACATAGAGCTAATAAATATCGCCTGTTTCTAAAGAGTTACAGTGATGCAGAAAAAAAGAGCAATTTGGAAAAGGAATGGGACAAGGAAAACGTCTGAGCCCTCAAAAACCATACCACAAATTTACTTTATGGGAGAAGTCGTTTGAGAGCTAAGTCGGTCACTAGATTCATTGACAAGCGTCCTGTATACTGCTTCTCGTGTGTGGGTGAAGAAAAAACGCCTGGTAGAAAGGGCTGATCGTCCACCACTGAGATGAAACACTGGACAATATGTATAGTTTTCGGTCTTATCGCTAAGCTTACCTTGAACTGTGGTCTACAGGTGAAGAAATATGATTTTCCAAACCTACAGAAACTAGCGTCCATCCGAGGAGAAATTGGAGAAAATACAACAAACACCTAATAAACAAATGTTAACAAAAAGAACTGGATTTCACTTTCAAAATGTATGATACTGGAAATATAGACGCCCGAAATTAACCGTGTACGTTTGTGGTGGAGGGACCCACTATCTGTATATCTTGCGATCTTTTCACTTTTCTGGAAAGTTACCTATGATGTAAATGTTGTGTAGGACTGACAGAAATCGTTCGAAGAAGGCGAAACATAACAGCGATTTCGTCAAATAGGTCAGGGATACATACATAAGGCTTGAAGCTAGGTCTATGCTAGTTGGACTGCCTGAACCCGAAATACAAACATCCGAGTTTGGTTGCGTGCTCAAAAATATGAAATTATTGTTTTCCAATAAGCTGTGTTTGTCTAAACGCCTACGAGTCAGAATACCCTATAGCTAAATGTAATAAATCCGGAAACATTTCTGCTCTGGTATAATTATAGCTTGAGGAAGAGAGACCAACAAAAAGAAAAAGTATTGGAAATTCGGAAAGAGTGATCGAAAAAACTCCTAAATGCTATTGTATATTAATTAATAAAGGTAATAGGACTAAATGGAGTCCAATTCACAGGAAAAAATAACGGATTCCCATTTTTGGATATTTTAGGGTATTTAAAGAATACCCATAAAAATCCCAAATTTGGCAAAGTGAGACAAGTCCCAACCAGGGAATACCCAACCAAGTTACCTGATTGGGACTTGTCTCACTCTTCCAAATTTGGGATTTTTGTGGGTATTCTTTAAATACCCTAAAATATCCAAAAATGGGAATCCGTTATTTTTTCCTGTGATTCGTTCTGAAATCACATATGTGATTAACGCCGTAGTCCGATTTGTTTAATCACAAGAAATTCCGATAGTTTTCTGCTAGCAGTGAAAACAAAGCTATTTAAGTGCGCGCGCGCGATGGCGCGTACTGTCCAATTACTTAGGCAGTACTGTTCTATTACACCGTCAGTTGATAGGCAATCAGATTTGAAAATTTTGTCATAGTTATGATTGACACGAAAATCGGTTCCAGGCGATACTATATAAATAGAGCTCACTTACAAATCCCTCTTGATCCTTTACTACCAACAGAACAGGAGTTTCCACGTCTCTCAGCCTATGATAGAGCATATTCAGGCTCATACCATGTTGATTTGTACTATAGACCAGTATCCAGGTGGATGAGGGGACATGCCGTGAAAGCTAAAAGAAAATGATTAAAAGAAGATATGACATGTGCGGACTTGCAAGCAGAATTTTGGCTTCTGTTATTCAAACGTTTGATAGCGTTCAGCCTGTTCCAGTTCAGATTGTGTGAATGGCGCAAAAAGATGTTAGCGGGATAAACAGCGAAGGTGTGGGGTAGGGGGTAAGAGCGAAGGAGTTCACTCCTATCCCCCTCTCATCCTCCTTATTTTCCCCCGCTCTTTGACTTCTTCACGCCGCACTCCAATATCTAAACGCCTAGAGCAGGCCAGATAGCGCTATCCACCGGATAGGTCACTATCCAGTGGATGGTAATTTATTCGATGCACAGCACTATCCACCTTTTGAACAAATAGGGCGAAGTAAGCCCGCGTTCTCTCAGTGGATAGGTACTTTGAAATCCAATTGCGCTAAGGGACCGGTCATTATTTATCGCCTGGGAGGGTTAGGGCGGAGGATTTTGCGATCCCCCCTCCCATGTCTTCATTTTCCAAGCAAATTTGAGTGGTCCCCTTCTGAATCCTTCCAAAGTTTTTTGCGATCCCCCCTTTTGGGTTCTCAGTTACGACTGATTCCCCCTTTTTTTCTCCCAAAAATCAAGTGATCCCCCCTAAAATCCCCCCCCCCCTCTCCGCAGGCGAGAAATAATGACCGGTCCCTTACCACTGGATAGTAATTTATTCTGCGCACAGCACTATCCACCTTTTGAGCTACTAGGGCGAGGAAAGCCCGCGTTCTCGGCCGCACCTGCCTCAGGGTCGCAATTGAGATAACTGAGGTAAATGCGCTACCTTTGCTCTGGTTTTGCAATTAGTTAAACTTTATAGTCTTCTCAGATGAAGAAAGAAAATCCTAGCTAGGTCCCATCTCGTAACACTTGAACAGTGATATGTAAAATAACCATTGAAGAAAGTAACGTAGCAAAGCAGTAACCATATCCCATCTGTCAAGGGTTGTGGAGTTGGCACCCTCGTTACAAACGAGGTCAACTCATTTGTAGCCCACCTCAAATGGGCAGGTATGTTCCGAGTAAAACTGAACGAAATCCCAGAGAACATTAGCTTTTATTATATAGTTCAGAACATGACAGTCCACCATGTATTACCACACGATAAGGAGAATACAGCGATTCAGACCACACTGCGAAACAAATAGTCTATTCAAAGAGAACAGACGGCAAACAGTTGTTGCTCCAAATATGTAAAAGTCGTAAATGATTGATAACTTATCAATATCTTCCTCTGTTAAAAAGATGGGATTCTTCGTCGAGTGACTGTTCTACTGTACTTGAGCAAGCCGAACTACAGAGCAAAAGAGAAAATTATGAAAAAGCATTACATCACTAAAGGAGACAGTGTTTCATCACATATCGCACACTGTTGAAAGGAAGATTAGCACTGAAATATTTTCGACGAACTTCAAGGTCTTTGATATTGTGATGAGACAACAGGATTCGCTCCGACGAAGGGATAGCCCCCGAGAGGTATCCTTGGGAGTTCTTGGTGGGGATGTGCCGCCCTGTTCTCCGAATCATGGCCCTATTTTAGACCAAAATATGTTATCATCACTTAGATTAGAACGCTAACAAAAAATTTCTTAAAATCCATTTCGAATGCGCATGTTTTTGTTTCTTTCTTACCCATTTGGAACTTAAACGACAAATACCTTCATACATTCCCCTATAGTTCCCTCGAAAACTATGCCTTATTCCAGATCAGACCAACTGGTCTATACCCGTTTTCAGCCCGAAAAGGCCCACATACCCTTTGGGGCGGCACAGACCTATCTGACTTGTATAAGGGAGATTACCAACCTACAAATTACAGGTTTATAAACACAGTGAGGTGATTGTAACCCATAAACTACTGGATTGTAATGAAAAAGTTGCAACCTTGAAATTACTGGTTAGGAGAGTTGGGGTACAGGAGTTGAGGACTTATTTCTAACGGAAGAGGTTCATTTCTTCAGGAAACTCTCATTTCTACGATAGAGGTTTAGTTCCACGGAAAAAGTGTGTTTCTTTGAAGGATGCTCACTTCTACGTAGAAGGCGGTTCTCTATGAAAAAGGAGCAATTCTGAAAACGAGATCAATTTTAAAACTATAGGCTTATTACTTGTAGAAACAGCCTCGTTGTATATTGTGAAGCTGTTGCACTCGGCCACCGTAATAAAACTACTGTCGCTTCTCTAACTTACCTCCTTTTAGCATCTTCGTAAGTCAGCATCTGTTAAAAGGAGTAATTAAAAACAAATTATCATCTGTCATTAATACCCTGGGTAACAGAGGGTTTTTCTCGAGTGCAGCGAGGAGCATCTTCGACCATAGGCCGACACGTCCTCGACCAAAGACACGAGCGGTCCAATCACGAGTGATCAAATTGCGTTCTGTGCATTCCATTCATTCTTAGTGGAAGTCCAAAAGAATGCTGGCTACGGACATGCAACGCATGCGTAACAACAACCTGGAGATTATGATTGCTGGCTCCTCTTATCGCCCACAATAGCGCACTTCTTAAAAGAGTGATAGCCTGGAACCCAAACTAAGCGCACGCTCATTTTTGGGATAGTTTGGGGGAACATGTCGAGCAGCTACCTTGAATTATGACGACACATGCAAGTTGTTGACATGTGTTTTTTGCGCACAAATAAGTTCAGAAACTTCCCGGTCCGCGCGTACTTACCTTTGTCCGAGCTGCGTTTTCTTTCCGGTTGTTTTGGCTCCACGGCAAAGAAGCCATCTCTGGAGCTGTTTCACGGTGCATTCTTCTGGTTTTTCTCGAGGTTAAATTTCCCCAGGCACATCTTCTTCCTTCAGCTTCATATTTTCATGTTTTTTTTTTTCCAATTCCACCTTCCGTTTTGCTATTTTGAGCTTTTTAAACCCTGTTGAAACATTCCACTTCGTTTTCCGCTATGTTTCTCTTACATTTGGGTCCCCAAATAATCTCATAAATGCCCGCGCTTAGTTTGGGCCCCAGGCTATCACTCTTTTACGAAGTGAGCTATTAACGTGTGGACTGGGAAAGTTATACCGCAGCTCCTGGCGCCCTCGCGCGCGCGAGCGGATCCCCATAGCTAAGAAAATTTGGTAAACCATCCATCCGGGAGATTTTGATTGTGACGTCAGCGTACGCCAGCCAGTACACTCTTTGGGGGGCGGGAGAAGGGAAGGGAATCAGGTGTCAGCCCGTCGGGGGGAGGTGTCTGTTGTATTTTCTTGGCGGGAAATCGTGCGATACATTTGTGCAACCCGCGTTTTTCTTGGCGGGAAATTGCGTAAGAAATGGAGTGGCCATTGTCGTCGCGTTCAAACACTTGTTTTCTAGTATTTCATGACAGAGCTGAATAACGTCTGCGCATATGCAAAGACGGGAGAGGTCTGGGAGCTAAACTAGTATCGTTTACAAAAGGATTTTCAAAACATCCTCACATATTGGCGATTTTTAAGGTGGATTCTGAATATTTAACGTTCCCATTTAAAGCAAAAGTAGATTATTTCAGACTTCATTCAATTCTCGTTTATAGTTTTGTAATTTTTCTTATATTTTTTGATATGAACAAAAGAAGATGCACGTCTAAAGCAAACAGTTCTTTCACTGAAATGTTTACATGTTCAAATTAAACGTAATCAGAAATAAACGACGGCTTATCAACATGTGATCAGCCGGGCATCTCATATCAGTGTCAGCATTAAAGGAACATTTTGATATTTATCTTTATTTTTCCTTGAATGAACTGTAAGAACAAAAAAAATTCCCTGAAGTTTCTCTTCTTTCTTCCACTGTCCAGCTATTGCGATCAGATTTACTAATAAAGTACATACTAGACTACAAATCTAGGCCACCAAAATTTCGCGCTGAATCTAAATAGTTTAATTCAGTCTTGCTCTGGTGCATGGAGCGTATGAAAAACCATCTTCCGCAGTTGCTCAGTCTCTGAACAAGAGCAAGCCTACCCTGCCATTTTTCTGTCTTGGCTCTAATAGAAGAGTACCAGAAACATGAACTTTGACGGAACTGTATTCAGAGTTTTTCCTTAACTTATCGAATCAGAAAGAAACTATCGGCTAGTCATAAAGGGATATATAACATATGTTTGACAAAAAAAATGAGCCTAAACAAACTTCTGGTTTATTTTATTTCGTTAAGAACTATTTAACCGAAAGGTTAACTTGGAAAAATATTGGAAATGATTTATAATTTATGAAATCGTGTTGACTTTTTTCTCTTTTTGTTTGTTTGTTTGTTTCTTTTTTTGCTCTTAGACTTCTTTCGTCTCCGGTATAAATCTCTCCAAAGAAGAACTTAGAAAACATTGCAGCAAAGATAATGAAAGAAGTTCTTGATATTAAAAGACAACAAATGCATGCGTTTGCTGGTTTGTTTAGTGACCACAGATATGCAAAGGCTTTGCTTGCTGTGGCATTACTGAAAAACCCTGCCCTTCTTAAGCACACCGCACGTTAATAATGCAACATTTCAAAGGATTAATTTTGTTAAGCTGAAATTTATTTGAATTTCCTTAAACATTTTTAAAAAGAATAAATACGTAATAGATATCAATATCGGCGCTTATTTATTGTTTTTAAGTATACAGAAAGAATAATATTTTTTATATTGAACTCAACTTATCGCTGCATGACTTTCCACGAGTTTTACTCTCAAATTTATTAATTTCTTTACTTAATTATCTAAGAGACTGGTTTTGAAGTATACTGCAGAGTCCTTTTTAAAAGTGTTTTTATTCGATAGCTATCACGGGAAGTATCGTTTGATTACACTTTATTTGTGATTACATTCTGTTCGAATACTAGGAATGAAGGAAGGGAGAGAGAGCTTCATCATTAAAAGTTCATTTTATATTTTACTGTATTTGAATGGCAATCAACTAGTAATAACCAAAGGTTACAAAGCGCGGGTGACAACTATTGAAGGTCAAAACGCTTTTGCTCCGACGCTGTGCTTTGCGCAAGTTTCACGTGATAGTCAGTCAAAAC